TGTGTAATAGCATGATGAGATTTTTATTGTTTTCATGAAAGTGATGACATTCTGGAAGTGTTTACCTTCAGGTACAACCATATGGAGCCAGACCAGAACACTCAACATTGCCGTTTGTTGATGATATGTATGATAGGCTAAGGGAGACACTAAATGAATATGATGTCATCGTTTGTCGCTGGCCGGAATATTCAAACAGTCTAGAACAGGTAGGTGTCCAAATGGTACTTTATATTCCTCTGCCTTACCAAGAACTCGTCCAGAATTTGAAGTGGTATTCGTCCTCCCTCTTCTATAGGCAACTGCAGATATTGAGAAGACAATTTTTGAATCGTTGGAAAGGCAATACTCTGATGTGTTATCCCCATTAAAGGACAATTCAGTGCCCATAATGGTTTCCAAATATTTCCAGAAGTTTGCCAGACAAGCGGTGGATACATTTTTCATACCAGATGAGGTAGTACTTAATTCTTTGTGTGGTTGAGTTTTGCAAGAAGATCACCCAAAAAAGATGATTTTTTTTAATCGAGGGACCGTCTTTTTCAGTTGGGAATTCTTTTGAATACGATGAAGAGGATGCGGGATGAGCTTATGCCACAGATAGAGCGCAAACTGAATTCAATGGCATCTGCTTGCATGACTGATGAAGGTCCTGCTAGAGGTGAATATCTCAATGAAGTAACTTTGGTGCTTAGAGCCAAATTCAGGAGTTACCTGCACGCAGTTGTGGAGAAACTCGCAGAAAACGTAAGTATCCTTCAAACCCATTTGTAGGAAAATATGATCTAGGATCAATCAAGATCTTGTTCATATCTCAAACAAATGACCTTAGATTCACCTCTCACACCAGCAATAATTCCATATTTCTGGCAGACGAGTCATAAAACAATCAGCTTTTGATCGAGCAGTAAAACAATGTTAACGCGGTGTTTGTACATGCAGACAAGGGTCCAAAGTGCAACAAAATTGCGAAAGATAATACAAGACACGAAGGAAGTGATGACGGAGTCAGAAATACGAAGCAGAATGCAGCCTCTGAAGGATTTACTGATGAACACAATTCATCATCTCCACCCCGTCCTTAACAACGGCGTCTTCGTAGCAATCTGCCGATGTTTGTGGGATCGAATGGGACAAGATGTACTACATCTCTTAGAAAACAGAAAGGAGAACATGTCCTCGTATAAAGGCTTACGCATTGCGGTTTCTGTAAGTCCAAAACTCACCATTGAGCTCCAAATTTCGAAATCCCTTTGTTGTTGCTGAATCGAATGAAAAGAACATGAAGATCAGCGCTATTACCTTTTTCTTTGGTTGAATCTGGCAGGTTTTGGATGACGTGTTTGCGTCGGAAATGCAGCGGTTGCTCGGGAATGCCCTGCAACGGAGAGACTTGAAGCCACCAACATCGATCATGGAAGTGCGCTCAATTCTCTGTGAGGATGCTGGCAATTTCTGATCAACCCAATCTTATAACTTATGAGCCTTCCAATTTTGAGCTCCTGTGTTTTTCTTTTCATATAAATAATTAAATTAACTGCCAAATTTAAAATTAAAATTAATTTACAACTAGGATGCCGTGTGCTTATAATTGATATTATACCCCAATATATTTTATTAAACTTATGTAACAATTTTTTTTCCAACAATAAACTTATGGTTTTCAAAGTTTATGGAAAGTGGTTTTTTTATATAAATTTTAATTATCAATATTATTATATATCTCCTTCCTCGAATTATTTATTTTTTGTTAATATAATTGATTATAATTATGGCAGAGAAGAGACAGTACGTGAAGCAATGAACAATCTCCATTCATATCAGCTTCTTAATTTAAACCACGAACGGAAAATACAATATTCCCATAATATTATATAAACTTCATTTTTAGAATATATTCTAAAACAATTTTATAATTTTAACTAGAAATCTTTAAGCACCTTTCGAACTTGTTCCAGCGTCACAAACAGCACCACCGTAAACGGTCCCTGTCGTGAAATCGTCGGTATGAACCCCTTGTACAGCGCCATCGGCCCCTCTGCCCGTACCGTCTTCATCGCGCAATCCAACGCTCCCGAGTACGGAGCCGCCGCCCCTTCTTCCACCTTCATGTTCATCACCCTGGTCTTTATCACGTCCACTGGATTCGACGCTACTGCCGCCACGAACCCGGCAGCGAAACTCGCCGTCACGTGTGTTCCCAGGCCATCCTTCATTAATCCCTTCTGCAGAATCGTCTCTTTTATCTGATCGTATGATGCGAGCTGCGAAGCCGTAACAAGCATCGCACGGTTTACCGTCAGCGACGAACCACGCCACAGACTTGTCACGCCTTCGCCACGTGCCATCTGGGTTATGGCGTCGACCACGCTTTTGTAGTTCCGTCGCTGCGCCGGCGGTAGCCGCCCGTCGGCTTGCATTCGTACCATCGCCACATCGGCCGGGTTGCCGACTGCAGCACCGATCGCACCAGCGATCAAACCCGCCGATATCTTTCGCACCAGCGGCAGTTTTCCGGTATCCTGATCGGTCCACTTCTGCTTGAGCATATCGTAAAGACCCATACGGGTAGTTGAGTACAGAGTCTGCCGGAGAACGGTAGCGGAAACGCCGGAGAAGAGAGCGGCGACTCCTTCCTTCTGCACAATACGAACCCCGACAGCAACTGGGCCAACACGCGCAGCTGGAGGCGGTGGCGAAGGAATATTCATAGACCTCGGAGCAGTCACAGAATTGGTCTGAAAAGCGAGAGCCGGACGGAGATTCTGAACCGCCCCCGTGGGAGCAGGAGTCTCGCCCTGAAGTTGCATTCGGACCTTGATCAGATCAAGCGGGTGGGTGGAACAGCCAGCAACAATGGAAGCAATTCCCCCTTCGACAAATCCCTTGACACCCATTATCCAGGAATCAATTTTTCTCGGGAAACAGACAAGAAAATAAAAACGTGACAGAAGGCTGAAAGAAGGGCGAGAAAATAGAATTCGAAGCAGAGAGAATTATGGATGTCTGATCTCGGAAACGGAAAAGACGGGGAAGGGGATCAAAGGGACCAGTTGGAATTGGAGTTCATATCACTGGAAACCAAGAGATGGGAATGAAGGCGGAAGGCAATGGAGGAATAATGAGGAACGAGGGGTCTGTGAGACATATGCTAACAGGGGACTCTGTAATACGCAAAGAACGAATGGTGAATTGGGGAAGACAGAACGTGGGGGAGGAGAATTTATAGCAATACCAACACCCAACGTCCCTTTAAAGGGCCTCTTTTTTTCCAACCCTCCAGTTTTCAGTATTTACAATTCCCTCCCCCATTTTACGCGGTTCTCCTTCTCCTTCTCCTCCTCCTCCATTTCCTGTCTCTACTCAATAATCAATACAATCATTAAAGTTTTGTTCAATCCTATTTAGGCACACAATTTGCTTTCCTTTTATCAATAAATATGAACTTATTTTAATTATTTCATACCAATTATAATATCGTAACTTGGGTAAATTACATTTTTGGGGGCATTGTCACTTTCCAATTTGCGAGGGTTGGTCCAACTTCCCTCTTTGACCTTTACTCCCAAAAAGAATGTCCTATTATTTGCAACCTATATGTGAACACCTGACTTTATTATGGGAATTTTCTTTTGTTTACACTAAAACTCATAATTAAAAACTTGATTTAATGATTTTTAATTATTTATTTTTTAAACTAAAAGAACTAGTAAGAAGCAAGTAAATACACATTATTCACTGCATACTATGTTTTGTTATTTTGTTTTAATTATTATCAAACGCAATCAAAATAATTAATTTATAAAGTCAAACACTACCGTTGAAGCTACATTCATTTTTATAATAAATTGACTTTTGAATATACTGCATTCTTTAAAAACCTAAATAAATCAATTGTCCAGTATAATTGGAAAAATAAAAAATTGGTTCAAAATTTTATTCCTTTCTTATTTATTTATTTATTTATTTTTCTTCTAATTTATGTATTTAATAAGTAAAAATTGATGAAATAAATTAAGAGATGGAGGCTAGAATCATGAAATAATTACCCTTGAGTTTCTCACTTTTGTAGTGCAAAGGCATTAAGAAAAAGTCGCACAGCCTTGGATTAATTTCAACGGGTATCATTATGATTAAGAAATATTATCAAAATTGCCACGAGGCCGTGTTCTTTAATAAAGGCCTTCAAAATAAATATATTTTTGATGCAAGGTTGGTCTGACCGTTGGGCACAGCGAAATGCCATAATTGACCCGGAAATTGGGGCTCGGGATAGCCTGGTCAAAATTTGGCCCTTTCTATAAGTCAATTGTTTGTAGTCGACGTGTCGTAAAGTGACTTGTGGGTCGACGATTTTCCGCGACGCTGACTTGGTCGCCTCCTTGGCTGTGCCCTGCCCTACCTAGACTACGACAGTTAAATTCTGGGTGAAGGTTCTGAGTACGTGACTCGCGATTGTGTTTTCAAAAAGAAAAAAAAAAAAGGAAAACTTTCGTCGCCTGAGAGATTCGAACTCTCGCGGGGAAACCCCATGTACTTAGCAGGCACACGCCTTAACCACTCGGCCAAAGCGACTTTTTGTTTAGGATTTAATTATATATTTAATTATTTTATGTGAAATATCATGTTCATTCTGGAAAACATTATAAATATATAGGAAAAGATGTATCACAAATTAAATGGTTGTCACATCACCTTGTGATGCTCGAGTATAAAAAAAAAAAAAAAAAATCAATTGAATTCCTGTAAATTATACTGATTAATCTTATTCTCTAGGCATATGCCTACTCAGTGATATAGGTGAACAAATAGCGTTATCTCTTTGCCACTAATACACTATTAATTAATTTTTCATTTTTTACTTACTATTACTGTTACAATCAAAGATTGTTTAAATATTCACTTTTTACATCTTTTTGTATTGCAAAAAAAGTGTTATTTTTCCACTCAAACGACGTCGTTAATACTCAACTTGAGGAAAGGAATATTTACAGGATTTGTCCAACTGAGAATCGGAGGCTCCATCAAATGCCCGTAGCAATTGCCTCTGCCGCAGCCCCAAACTTTCGTTACTTCAAGACTCTGAACCTCAACACTCGATTCTCTTCCTCACTGTGCGCAATTGCTCGGGATAAGAAAGATATGTTCACAACAGTCAGTAGTAGTAGTAGCGGAAATGCAGGCGCATACACCACGATCAAAGAGATTGTGAGATTCGAAAAAGAAATCAAGAAGAGCAAGTTCATCGCCATCGCTGGTCCTGTCACCAATGAGCAGTCTGCCTTCTCTTTTCTCTCCCAGGTGTTCTATGCTAGATTCTCATGGAGGAGTTTCCGATTTCTATTCCTGTTTACCCTCGCTGCCTTTCTGTTTGTTTCCTGGAATAAATTCTCTTTTGTTCCCTTGGGATTCTATATGCCATTTTCTTTGAAGTTGTAAATTATATCGCACTTCACATTGTACATGATTCAATTGGCAAAGCTATCTATTTTCTAGTGAAATTCGTTATTGCAAATTGTATTATGCCATTAGCATCACTCTTTTAATCTCAAATATTGGAACATTGCCTCAAAATGCGTCCTTGAAAATCTTCTAGAATAGAATCGATATGTTTGTGTGAAATTCACTAATCTGGCTGGCATTTTTTGTGATGAAACTCAGGTACGGGAACCGCGAGCTACTCACAATTGCTGGGCGTATCAGGTACTTCTTTATCTCTTGCATGTTGTTGGATATGGTTAGATGCATTAGTTGTTACAGTTCTTGAAGAATATCTATTATGGGGTAGTTCACCATCCGTCCCAGTGGTCTAACACTTTGCTCTTCACGTGGTCTGTTGAAGGTGTAATGTAACAGAGTTTATGCTAAATCACGTGATAAAATACTACATGAATAAATCTATCATCTCTTTTATATTTTTACAAAAATAACATTCCTTAAATATGATAAGAAAGATGCTACGTTTAGTTTCTGTTTTACATTTTTACACTGTTTATTTTGATAGATCCGAAATTTTTTTGCTGCGAATGTAATATCAATTAGTTTCTGTCATTCCCTCGTATTTTAAAGCTCGCAAGTTTCTGATGGTCATATTATTACTTCAAAATGCAATGCTCCAGTTTTTCAGAGAGTTTTTTTGTTCAAGAGGATTCCCATAAAGAGATATTGAGAGGGGAGTTAATAAATTTACTTCCCTGATCTCAATTCCTTTATTTATAACTTCCCTTGACTCTATTCAGGTTGGAGATCAATTTAGGTCTAATGATGATGGCGAGCCATCTGGTACTGCTGGAAAACCAATTCATTCTGCTATTGTCTCTTCGGGTATTGACAGAGTCATGGTGGTTGTGATCAGGTTTTCTCTTTGCAAATAATAGGAATTAGGTTGAAACATAGTTTTTGGGATCTATTTCTAAGCAATTTTCATGGGCAAAATACTAGCCAATCGTTGACTTGGAATCCTCTTATTAATGCTTTTGGTTGATATGAATGTGTGTGCTTGCCATGTGCTATAGCTAACTTCGTATGATATCTTTTCCCTCTACCAAATTTTAGGTATTTTGGAGGTATCAAACTCGGGACTGGGGGACTAGTCAGGGCTTATGGGGGAGTAGCTTCCGAATGCCTGAAAAGTGCTCAAACATGTGTCGTGAAATCTAAGGTGTTTCTTCTTCCCTCAATAGTTGTCACCCTGTGATGCTAGTATTACTCAGAAGTTTATGGAGCAAATTAACTGTACTAAACTATTTTAAATTGATTTACACAGGAAATGTTATTTTTGATAAATTGGGTTCCATGTCTTTTAGGTTCCAATGGGTGTGGAGGTACCATTCAATCTTCTAGGGGCTTTGTACCACCAGGTAAATTTGCCCATGTGATTAAGAGTTATCTTGTATGCCTCTGTCACGGGTTTGAATTTTCGTCTTTAGTGCTTTTTCCCCTCAGATATTGGACGGTTATTGTTTGAACTATGGTCTCTGATTTTTCATTTGTTTCTGCTTGTTTTTTCTTCCTTCGGTATAGTTCTCATGTCATAGTCAATATTGCATTTACTTTGGACGGAAACATTCTTCTATAATTCTTACAATTACATATATACCATAGAGTGATGATCTTTCGGCTCCAGCAATAATAGAAAGGTTCTACAGTTCTGTCATGCACAGTATCCGTTTCTTCTGCCGCCTTTTTAAATGGATATTATTGTAGAGCTGAAATTTGTGTCGGTGTTTGCAGATGCAATCTTTTCACGTTGAGGACATTAAGCAGGATTATGACTGTGGTAAAGATGGTATTACCATGGTGACATTCAAGGTTGATTTCGACCGTGTTGAGAAGCTGGAGGATGCTATCAAATCTAATTGTAGCCGTGAATTAATCTTTTACAAGCAATAAATTATACAGCTGTTCTTTGTACATGAATGCAGAGAAGGGAGATACACATCAATATAAAGAAATCAAGTATGCATCCAATCAATGGCGGGTGGCTTATGAGGTAAGTGAATGATGACTTTGTACAACTATTTACATTGCACAATAATCTAGATATCCTTTGTAAAATACATTTCCCATTGAAATGAATATTTAGTTAGTTCACGGCCTGCCTCATTCTCATGTTCCTTCATTAACCTATATACCGTACTACTGCTGTAGAAGCATCATATTTTTCAGAAGCACGCGGCAGTAAGTCCTTATTTGATTGATGATAACAGCTATCAAGGAACCTTTGCCAATTTGAAGGACTTGTTTCATTTGACTATGGTTTGATGGGAAGCAATAATTGAAATGGTGTTATGGTTGGAGTTGGAGATAACGTTGTTGGAATCCATCTATATTTGGGACTGTTCGCAGTTCTGGGTTTAATGGTCATACAGAATTCCGCTGAGTCAGTGGATGCTAGTCTGACCAGATGTCGGTTGAAAGAAACAAAAATAATATACCTTTAAGGTTTAGTGTAATAGATGTAAGATACAACGGGATGTAGGTAGGATTGATGACAGTTCGGTGTTGGCTGCAATGGAGGTGCGTTAGAAGACTTAGCTAGTTACTAGCATCATTTTGCAATTATACTTGGCAGATGCAATCACTCCACAGCAGAAGTGGAAATGCCCATTCGTTTACTCTGCAACTATCACAAGAAACGAAGGACCCCTTATTCACTGATGCAGTTTTCCCTAGTACATTAATAACGACTACTGTACAAGGCCATGATAGAAGACCAACATAGCTAAGAAAAGAACACGTTTGGACACAATTCTTAAACCCATTCTATGTTTGAATAGAAGGACAAGGACCTGATGGGAACGAGCTAGCTAGGTTTAGAATTCAGATGGGAGTCTTGTGTTGAAGAAGATGAGATCTTGGTGGAAGCCATTTTTTGTTTGAATAGGATAAGGATAACCTGTAATATCAATTAAGCTTTTCATTCGAAGTTTCTTTGCTATAAAATCCAAATTACCATCTCTGGAAACATTGAATTACAGAGGAACTAGGAAGATAAGAAGAAAAAAGGTCAGCAAGTACGTATACTTCACCTATCATGTCCAGACGTATTGATTAGAGGGATGGATGGTTCTAGAAAGGCCATCACAACTAATTACAAACGGGTAATTATGTTACTTTGAGGCTCGGGAATGCCAAGAACTTCTGTGTTTTCTAGCTGTCCATGAAGGCCTCCTCATAACAGCCTCCAAAACCCTCTTAAGCACGCCAAGTCCTTCTTTAGGCCCTTGCATCCACAGAGCAAACTTGTTCCTTCCACCCATAGTCACAATTTCAGCTCTCACCAGCTTCACTTTCACCGTTTTCAGTGCTTTTGCCAATTCTGCCATAATGTTCGGCCTGTCCTCGCAGCTCATTACAGCCTTCACCATCCCTTCACCACCATCACAGTGTTCTAAGCTCAATCTATCTGCCCCACTAGGTATCCCGCAATCCCTGACTTCACGATTAGCTGCTCTCTTTTCTGATACAAGCTTCTTAAACTCCTTCACCAGACGGATTGTCTCAGAAAGCACAAAAGCCTTTTTGATCTTACTCATATCCGTCTGTGTTCATAATCATTGCTTTCCAAGTATCAATACACAGAATATTTTTACGTGTTGGCTTAAAATCAATTGAAGATAGATTTTTTGAAGGAAGTTTTTTTTACTAACTTTGTATATGCTGGGAAGGATGGCACGGAGGGTGTCATATTGGCCGCTGATTCTGTTTCTTCTGCTCTGCTCTGCCAGGCGGTGCTTCTGGGCTGCATGTAATGTATTCTCCTTCCTTGGAAAGGATGAGATTGGGCTGTAATGCTTGATCATTAGAGGTTGTCCTTGTGGATACATCTGATGCATAGTTCCTGAAGTTGGGTAGCCCTTGATGGACTGCATGACCTGTCCAGACTATGAAATGATACATACAGATTGAAGAAGAAAAAAAATAAAAGATTCATAAGTATCAGAAAGCAAAGAAATGTTGTTAACTGGTGTCTGTATAAGTTACCTGATGCAGTAAAACCATGGCACAACAAGGTTCTCCCTTATTGGAAGTGGAAAGAACAGCAATAACTGCTGTGAAGTCCGACTATTGATGTTTTTATTACATAGGAAAATTCTCCATTTTCATAAGAGTGGGAGAGAAGGAATTAATTGCTTTATTTCTTTGCGATTAAGGCAGATTGTGTAATATATGACCTCATAATTGCCATTTACTAAGCATTTCTATCCTGTAATTATAATGATAAGATATGGAAACTTGGAGTGCTTTAACCAAATCACATATCAACCATCCGCATGACCAGAATTTAACAATTCATTACAAAAATCCTACTTTATACTTCAAATTCAAGAATACATTGACATCATATTTTATAAATAATATGACCCCCCACTCATATCTTCATTCCTGTCTCCACCCACAGTCCCAACAACTATCCTTGTGTTGAAGATTATAACTTCCATGGTGTCGAGGATTTTGAGAAAAGCATTATACTGTAGGTGTGTGGCTTGGAAGATGGTTCGGTCACTGCTGCTCCTTGGACAAGAGTTATTTTATTTTATTCTTCGGACTGCAAAATTGCAACTAAAAGGATGGCTGACATGAAGCACCGAAGTAACTTGTTTGTCATGTCGCCGGGTGTGAACTTTTTGGTATCAGTATTGAATATATGGCTAAGATACAGCCAAATCAGTCCAATGATATATATCCTCTTCTTAAGACTACATATACCAGCTGGTCTAGCAGAAGCTTGCTTAGTTGCACAAAATAATTATAATTTCGAAGCCAAATAGACGTGCAGATACTTACAGAAGCTCTATCATGTAATGATTCCATGTTATTGGTGCTCAAGGATCCGAAAGAGAGCTGAAGAGCACCTGTCACCGGATAGTGCAGGTTCGACAGGGAAATACCCGAAGACGAAAAAGGAGAGTCCAATGGTCTGAACTGCAACAGGTGCCTCGGTGAATAGCGTAAGCTCACTGAGGGTTAGAGAAGATGTAACTGAAAAAGATGAAACCCCACTTCGTCCCGTTCTCTGAAATCCCGAACCGAAGAGACTACGGTTAGCGAGAGAGAGAGAGAGACTTGTAAAAGCCGTCCGAAATGTGCCTTTTTTTTTTTTAATCTTTTTAAATTTTACAGAAATCATAAAATTAAAATTTTAGAATAAGACACAAAATTAAAAAACCAAATAGACTTAGACTAATAGGAAAATTAAAATTGTTAATTTACAAGATCTGAAAGGATAATCAAAATTATGTCTTGTAATCGACATTTTGACAATATTTCTAGAGAAGTGACATTGATTTGAACAACAATTACAGCCAATTCGACACGTGAGGTGTAAGGTAGATGTCACCAAATACAGATATTTTGCTAAGAGCAACAAAGACAACATAAATTACAATATAACAACTCTAAATACCGTGGACAACCTAAGGAGTTTCCTCAAAATAATGTGAACACACAGGCTAGGCAGCAGCATGTCAAAGTATACGGCTGCCGAAAGAATGGGAGGTACAAACTTCGTATTCATGGTCTTACATCTTTCAATATTCCCCCCTTTTCAAGCTCGCCAACAAGATCCTTTAACGATGGGACTTTCATGGCTAAAGTTCTGTAGAGCCGAGAGTACCGTGCTCGGGTTCCATCTGCAGTTCTTGCCAAAGCAAGTAAGCTCAGAGCCTCTGGGAGCTGGGAAAATACATGTTTGATATCCTCCAAGCTCATGTTTTCTAAAACAGATGGTCTGGGAACAACTCTCACAATTTCACCACCTTTTGGTTCCTGAACATGGGCATCTGCCTTGATGACCAATTCCGAATTGGAGTTTGCGCCACACTTGATGATAAAAGGTGTTGTAGAGCCTGTATTGAACTGCAGAACGTTCCACTGTGCTACGTCAACTTCTGCACCAGAACTCGAGTCCACTGACAGTCTGCGGTTGTGTGATGCTGCGTGACAGATGTCATCTTCTTCTGGAGTTAACTGCAGTAAATAAGATTAGAAAAAATATTTAGATATAAGTATGATAGATCCAGGCTCCAGCTAATGTACTATATTCAATCCAAGATTTGAAGGAGCCATGTGTCTTCCAACTCTGAGATAAAAGTTCACTCTGTAATTGGTATTTTAGAAGTAAAAGAAAAGTGGTATATTCGAGTTAAAGTTCTATTTCCAAAATGTTACGTGTTCAGAGTAGACATTGAATAAGAAGTACTGTTCCTATGAAATGTTTTGAAGTTGAGATCAAAAGAGCCCGTGTTTAAAACTAAAACCAAATTTAAACAACCAAGAAATCCACCATAAAATGCTACAGAAAAAGGGAAGTAACAAAATCCTTTGAATGCAACGACAAAACCAAGTCATTCAATACCAACGTATAGTTTAAAAGAATTGGACAAGCTAGTTTTTTATTGAATTATTATTGTTTTTTTATAATTACGACATCATAATGATGAGTGAAAAATCCCCACACCCCCCCACCGCCCAAATACTTGCAACAAATGGAGATTTTCCAACCCTACCCTGTTGTCGGCTTAAATAGTTCCACGTCAATGCCAACGAACAACTATTTGATCCGATATCCGAATGAGAAGAGTCAAATTGAATTCAAACATAGATACAAAAAAGGAAAAGAAAAAAAACCCGATGAACTCACTCATACAACAAGAAAGCATGTAGTGCAAACAATTCAATACAAAATTTAAAAGACTCACATACCTCAACTATCTGACGACTATCTGTAATTTGCCTCCTAGCACACGGATGATCAATCTCAAGAAGAGAAGGCATCTGTTCTGTCAATTCATCAAGGGATGCAAGCAGTGCTTTTTTCTTACTTCTACTCAAGGCATTTACAGAGGCTTGTCTCCCAATATCCTGTTTCAATAAACATCTTTGTAAATGTCTGTTTCTGACACAGAAACAAGACAAGAAAAAATGAAAGACATTTATGTAGTAGATTACCTTTACTTGCTTCAAAATGCCATCAAGGGAGATGAGAGAGGCAAGTCTTGCATCTTCAACAGCAGTAGAGGGATTTTGGATAGGTAAACCACCATCTTCCAGCATAAGTAAAGCTATATCATTTTTCATTTGTTGTAAAATCTGACAACATTAGTTTTACATATCAGAAGATGCTCGAATATTGGAAATTAAAGAATGAAAAAAGTTACGTAGATAATATTGACAAATTAGCATTTATTGAAATGCCAAATCATCTGTAATTTTTTCGTTTGTAGTAAAATCTGACAACAAAAATGCAGATCAGAATATACTAAAATGTAATCAAGTAGACTAAAGAAACATCGATAATATTGGCATTTAAGCATTAATAGCGAATGTTTATTTGCAGAATAGAACCAACATGGAAGAACAGGATATAGAAAGAAAGCATGAGAGATGAGTATTTGTTTCTTGACACCAAACGTGGAAATGTGCTCTTTAAGGTGTTAAGCTTGTCACAAGGAATAAATGGACCAAGTATATAGGAGAGTGAAATAGAAATTATGAAGTTATGAAGTACCTTTCTTCTTTTATGATCGACTGACTCAAGAGCTGATCGCAACTTTGTAACTTGAGCCGCATCTTCTGCCTCTTCCATAGCCAAGGTACCAGCAATGTCCTGATAAAATAGAAAAATGTAAGTAAATGTCCAAAATATCATGGTCTGTTTACCACTACCCTGTTGAGAGAGCAAAATCTAGCAGGGGAGTTACATAGGAACGTAAGATTTATTACTCAGGTTCACGCACAAAAAAAAAAAAAAAAAAAAAAAAAAAAAAAAAAAAAAAAAAAAAAAAAAAAAAAAAAAAAAAAAAAAAAAAAAAAAAAAAAAAGAATCATCAATCCTCATCCACGTGAAGACAGGACACAACGTTGAAGATGCTACAGTGTTGCAAAAAATAGAAATCCTCTTGGATGTGCTTAGGTGAAAAGACAAGAATGTAGTGGTATTTTCCCATGCAGCAATCATGAAAGAGCACCACTCTTGTTCTGAACAAGACAGCAATTGATATCGGGCAAAGTTTTTCTTTTGTCCTTGTACAATGTTCTTTTTTTGAAAAATATGAACATAAAAATATTAGTGGCTTTAAACTCATGAAGTATTTAAGACCGTAGTCAAGTAGTCCGATGAAATTCGAACCAATAATATCCCAGTTGCATCTAAATGAATTCGAGCAAGTTTGATTTATTTATAAGAATTTGGTGACATTTGAAAATTATGATTTAGGCAGCTGAGAAAATAATGACTTTTCTCGACTCTAAAAAAATGAAAGGAATTTCCATCCTCGAATAAGTTGAGGATATTAAATGGATTCCTATTAAAATTGTGTGGATCAATCAATTCACACTGCTTATGATTTGCCATGAAAAAAGTCTAAGACTAGATCAAAAAACAAAACTTTTTACTCGACGGAAGTTATCTTTCAAAATATTTTCACAAGCAATAACACGGTGAAAAAATCAATCCAAGCATTTATTCAAAACAATTGACGTGTTAAATAGTAGTAAACTTAATAAGCTTTTGAAGACAATTAATGATGAGACCAAGATCCTTCGATTTTCCATGAAAAGATTCAAAATGAGATCAAAATGCACCTTCAAGTGCTGCAATTGGGAAGAATAGACCCGTTTTGTATACTCAGAGAGAAGCTGGCCAAGAGCATCGGTTGAAGGAGGCATTGCAGCACCAAGTCCACCCATCCACCCATCCATGATTGCTGTTGACAGGAGTTCTAGCTGACCAGTTGCCCCCCCTGCTGCATCGTCTCCAGTAACAGACAAATATTCAAAGTTCTCTATAAGCCATGACCTAATCTGACGCTGCAGCTCGCCAGCTGGAGTGTGTACAAATAAAGCAGCCAGAGCCTTATTTCCAACAGCAAAGCTTTTTGCATCCTCGTTAATTTCTCTCAGCTTTCCAGCTGTCACTTGCAGCCTCGGAGAATCCTGTCCAATACAGTTCAAAGTAGTGAGCACAGATGTATCGTAATAATATACAATGGACTTCCTGAAAATGTAGAAAACCATTATTTTCTTGTGTTAAGTAACAAGTGGAACAGAATATAGAAAGTTGGAAGCATCCAGATGGGAGGGACCTGAAGACAGCGTGATCTCATGATAATGCATTAAAAATTGTATCATGCAGTACTTCCCAATTCATCTCCTGCCACCAGCATGTGTGCAATGCACATAACAGTTTTTCTTGGTATCTCTTTTGGAAAGAGAAAGGGGAATATATTCATATTGACTATCCCCATGAATTAGTTCAGACTGGTGGGAAGATAACAAAACGATGATAAAAACACTACCTGATCAAGACC